AAGGCGGCAGCGGCAGCCAAAAGCGAAATCATGAAGGGAGACAAACTTGGGAGACAAGGCGGCAGCGGCAGCCAAAAGCGAAATCATGAACGGAGACAAGCTTGGGAGACATGGCGGCAGCGGCAACCAAGAGCAAAATCATGAAGGGAGACAAGCTGGGAGACAAGGCAGCAGCGGCAGCCAAAAGCGAAATCATGAAGGGAGACAAGCTTCACAGACAAGGCGGCAGCGGCAGCCAAGAGCGAAATCATGAAGGGAGACAAGCTTGGAAGATAAGCCGGCAAAGAGCCAAGAGCGAAATCATGAAGGGCGACAAACTTGGGAGACAAGGCGGCAGCGGCAGCGGCAGCGAATTTCCGCAATCAGGAACCCATCCATTGAGAAGTAAGAACCCCTATAGCTTCGCAATCTGGGGAAAAAATTAAAGCCTGATTCCAAATGCAACACAATATCTGAAACTATGAGGCGCACTTGCAGAACACTTGCTTGACACTCTTCTAGGACTTCTCAGGACACTGGACCATCTGGAACCCTTCTTCCCTCTCCCATGGTCACCAGCCGCACCTCCCGTGGTCACCGACCTCTTGGTTGATGAGCGACTCCCTGGGCTGTCGAAGGATGACATCGCCTGCCGGTCGCGCGGTCATGCGCAGTAGGTGGACCCCTGACGATGGGCGGTGGCCGGTCGCGGGCCGTCGCGACGGCCGACTCCACGACTCTAGTGGAGTTGAGGCTTTTCTTTTGGACTCCACCCACTCGGTATGCTTTGGACTGGCGGGTGGGGGGTAAACCGGTCAGCAGGGGATCGACAGGCAATATCAGCATACCTGGCGATGAAACAGCTGCGTGCAGGTATGCAGCATAGCTATCTATTCTTTAGTTATCTTTATAGGTTTACCACGGTTTAACATATTCAAATCGATTTACATACATGTATATATTTATATCATTTTTTTTTTGGTCCGGCTCTTTTGCAGCAGCTCACGAGTTGGGCTCATGCCAACATGGACCTTATGTCGTGGGAATGGCTCGTCTGGCAACGGCGTCGGAGCTTCTCTGTGAGGAGGATGACATCGTTCTGAACCCGGGTGCGAAGATGGCACTTCAGACATTCCACCGTGTTCCCAGTGCGGTGCATCTGATGCGTGGAGTGGCCTTGCCAGCGATCACTCGCCAAAGGGCCATGATGGCAAACTTCCCCCAGGAACCTGTTGAAGATGTCCTCACCAGCTCTGGCCAGTACGTAGGAGCGGCAAAGGTTGCAGCGTAAGTACGCTTTCTCCAACCGCAGGTGGTGTATGCCAGGTTTGGCCTCCCCTTGAGTCTCAAGGAGGTCGTGAATGACCTCAAAACGGGTCTTCTTCTGGGTCTGGCAGGGAGCCGCCTGAGCACATGGTGCTGTGAGGCCTTCTCGAAGCTCCTTGATCAACGATTTGGTGTGAAATCGCACTCGGCAAAGGGTGCATTGGACTCCTGATCTGTAGACCTGCCATTGGTGGCCATGTGCCTGGGGTTCTTTGAGAAAGCAGGCCAAAAGATCCTTCTTCTGCTGGACCATGGGGATTTTGGAGTTGTCCGCCATGGCTGACTTGCTGTGAAGAAAGTGTTCTTTGCAAGTGAGGAGGATGTTCATCCTGCTGCCTGCGACACTGAGGACATCTCGTGTGTCTTCGTCAATGTGCTTCTGTAGGTCAATGATCTCTTCCGGCCTGGCTAGAAGCGCAGCTTGCGTGGCCTTAGCCTGGGTGTCCTGCTGGAAGGCCTTCCGGTTGAGATTGGAGTCCATCTCACGACGGCTGAAGAGGAGAAGACGGACTTGATCAAAGTCTTCGTGCTCCAAGCCCAAGCTGAGGTCTGGGAAATGATCATGGGCCGCCATGAAGGACCAGTTCTTCCATATGGAGTGCTGGCAAACTGCCACGTGGACTTTGTCCCTGATGTGAAGAGAAAGGTGCTTCAGTCCATAAAACAGGGCCCTGAGCCTGGTAGCCTTGCCCGGGCAGATGCCAGTCAGAGATCCAACTCGTTCCTTTGTAAAGACCTGATGAATGCAAATGGCAAAGACATAGCGGCGATGACGAGGATCTCGGGAGGTGGGGGCAACGGCCAGAGAGACCGCGTGTCCAGCCGGTAGGGTACAGGCTTCCAAATCGGCCCAGAGTCCTTCACCAGAAAAGGTAGCCATTCCTCCGTCCTGGATGTAGAAGATGGACTGGGTCATCCCACGGTTCCAGAGTTCGGGCTCGGTGTTTGCCTGTATCCTGTCTCGCCATTGATCAGGTAGCGGCTGAACTCGCCCTTCCCAGAAGCTGCATTCCCAGAGGAGGTGGATGAAGGTCAATTCAACTCCACAAAGCGGGCACTTGCCAGTTTGGCCGTGAAGAGTGCCCTGGTGTAGGGCCCGGATGCCGACGGCAATCTTTTCACTCGTCATCTTCTGAAGCGTTTTGCTGACTGACCAATCCAATTTCCTTTCCAAGTCGTGGCAGCCCTCATACCTGGTCAGGCGCAGCAAGCGTTGCCAATGGAATTCCTCAGTCAGCTTGTGAAGAATCTCAGGCCACAGGGCTTCCAGGCTGATGGTGCAATCAGGGATGCCCCCGTAGCCGGTTCGCTTCCAGAGCTTGCCGTTGGAGATGTCGAAGTCGTAGTCCAACAGATAGGCTTGCAGGGCTTGGAGGGGCCCTGTGACAACTTGCCAGCGATGCTTGGCCTTGAGGAGTAGGTCAAGTGCTGAGTTCCAGCTGATCCAGAAGAGGTGCTGGGCGCTTTCGTCAAATGAATGCAGAACCTTCCAGACTGTGTGGATGTGTTGCAAGATGATGGAATCGCCAGGGTCGCTCTTCTCAGAGTGGATGTCAAAGACAACATCGACGGATCCGGATCGCTGGAGGCCGAGACCTCTGGCAGCCAAGACCCGTAGTTGTTGGCGTCGTTGTGGTGCCAGCCCATTTGCCTGGGCGCCCCAGGACATCACGGGGTGGATAGCTCCTTTGTGGAGCCGGTACTTGGTTGTCATGCCCAGCTTGAGACGAAGCATGATCCCGACTCGCCCTCTGCCCTTGAGGAAGCGCTTCTTGATCTGGGTGATGCGTCGACGCCTGGAGTTAGTGGCGTCGATGCCGAGGTCACGGAGGATGTTGTGATGCTTGGGATCTTCTTCTCTGAGGAGGGCATCCAAAGCCTTGGCGGATTCCTTGCTGCTGGTGATGAAGCCGGTCT